TTTTTTCTTGCCTGGGAAGCTCTTTATCTGCCCTTCCATTCTAAATGATAGCTTTGCTGGGCAGAGTAATTTTAGCTGTAGGTCCTTGCTTTTCATCACTTTGAATATTTCTTGACAATCCTTCTGGCCTGCAAAGTTTCTGTTGAGAAATCAGCTGACAGTCTTATGGGAGCTCCCTTGTAGGTAACTAACTGCTTTTGTCTTGCTGCTTTTAAGATTCTCTTTGTTTTTAACCTTGTGCATTTTAATTAGGATGTTTCTTGGCGGGGCCTCTTTGGGTTCCTTTTGTTTGGGACTCTCTGCGCTTCCTGGACTTGTATGTTTATATCCTTCACCAAGTTAGGAAGGTTTTCTGTCATTTTTTCAAATACGTTTTCAATTTCTTGCTCTACCTTCTCCTTCCAGGACTGTCATGATGCTAATATTGATACACCTGAAGTTGTTCCAGAGGCTCTTTACACTATCCTCATTTTTTGGATTCTTTTTTCTTCTTGCTGTTTTGATTGAATGTGTTTTGCTTCCTATATTCCAAATTGCTTATTTGATTCTTGGCTTTATCTACTCTACTGTCGATTCCCTGTAAATTAGTCTTCGTTTCATTTAGTACACCCTTCATTTCTGACTGGCCCTTTTCCATGCTGTTGAGGTCCCCACTGAATTCCTTGAGCACCCATACACCCAGTGTGCTGAGCTCTGCATCTAGTAGGTTGCTTGTCTCCATTTTGTTTAGTCCTTTTTCTGGAGTTTTGTTCTTTTCTTTCTTTTGGGCTATATTTCTGTCTCCTCCTTTTAGGAGCCTCCCTGTGTTTGTTTGTGTGTATTAGGTAGACCTGCTGCATCTCCCAGGCTTGGTAGAGTGGCCTAATGGAGTAGGTGTTCTGTATGGCCCACCGGCACAGCCTTGCCAATATCCTAAGCAGGACACTCGAGGTGCTCCCCCATGTGGGCTGGGTGACCCTCCTCTTGTAGCTGAGCCTTGGTTGCTGTTAGAATGTCAATGGGAGGGATTTACCCCAAGGCCAGTCAGCTGCAAGGACTGACTGTGATCACCAACCACTGACCTCCAACCTCTGACCACCATGGATGATCAGCTGTGCTGGCGGCCACCCTACAGAGGAAGACTTACTTCAGTGGGGTTCTGGTGCTCACTGAGTCTGCCTTTTGTGTGTGCTATTTGTGGAGGTGATTGGATGGTGATACTTTGACATGGTCTGAAACTATTCACTGGGTGCGCTGACTCTGGAGCCTCCTGGAAGGTGCAGGCCAAGGTCATCCACCACCTATGTCCTGCTCAGGGCTACCTGGCATGAACTACAAAGCAATCTGCAGATGGCTGCTACTTGTAGTAGGCTTGGAGGTGCCTAGGAGAGGCCAAGTTGTGAACCAAGGCCGGCTGAAGCTAGAGCCAGGCCTGGGGCCACTTAGTGAGAGGTACGGGATCATGCTAAGGCCAGATGCTGCTTGTTTGAGAGATTTTAGGAAAATCTGAAGCATGAGCCAAGACAGGCCATTCCTATGGAAAAGCCACTGGAAACAGCTTGGATGGACCTGGAAGTTGGGTGGGGTGGGGCCTCAGGGAATCACCAAGGCAGGACAAACAGTGTGAGCCAGGGTGATGGCCACTCCACCTGCCAGCTCT